AAAAACTCGATATGCAGTCTAGTATCAACTAATGGGCTTAGTGTTGCAGTGGTTAAAATGCTCAGCTGCTAACAGAAGGTTCAAACCCACCAGCCACTCTGTAGGAGAAAGATGCAGCAGTCTGCTTCTGTAAAGATGTTACTCTTTTTAAGTGCCATCGAGTCGATTCCTACCCATAGCGACCCTGTATAGGGTTCCTGAGGAGGAGCTGGTAAGCTTGAACCACTGACCATGCAGTTCAAACAGCTTTGCAGTCTGGCGCATTAACCCACAACACCACACCAGGACACATACTCAAAAAACTGCTGCCAGAAGCATGATGAAAACAGGTGGAGACATACAGAGGTGTGCAAGGGCCAAAAGGGGCAGAGGCAGATAGTGATATATACACAACCTTGGAACAACAGTGTCACTAACAAGAAAAAGTGGGATATATATCAAAGATTTCATTGTATTCAGACCAACTATCAACACTCATGGAAGCAGCAGTCAAACCAAATGATGTATCACATTAGGCAAACCTGCTGCACAAGACCTCTTCAAAATGTTGAAGAGCAAAGATGTCAGTTTGAGGACTAAGGTGCGCCTGACCCTAGCCTTGGTATTTTCTATAACCTCATATGCATGTGAAAGTTGGCCAGTGAATAAGGAAGACCGTAGAAGAATGGATGCATTTGAGTTATGGTGTTGGAGGAGAATATTAAAAGTACCGTGGGCTGCCAAAGAACCAAACCAGTCTGTTTGAAACCTGTGTTCGAGGACATACAGCCAGAATGCTTCTTGGAAGCCAGGATGGCCAGACTACGTCTCTCATACTTTGGACACATTATCAGGAGGGACCAATCTGTGGAGAAGGACATGATGATGGGTAAAGTGGAGAGTCGGAGAGAAAGATGAAGACCCCCAACGAGATGGATTGGTACAGTGGCAGCAGCAATGGGCTCAAAACGTAGCAACGATTGTGAGGTCAGTGTAGGGGGTGTTTCATTCTGTTGTGTATAGAGTGGCTATGAGTTGGTACTGACTCAATGGCACCTCACAACAACACTATATCCTACAAATACATAGGGTATTTGTACATGGGTAACAACAGGGAGGAAGCGGGCCAGTTACATGGAGGGGATTGCAATCATTGAGATGGAACAAAGTATATGATTTGTTGAATGTCAAACTGATCTTGTGTGTAAATTGTCACTCAATTCACAACTAAAAAAGAAAAAGTTCCCTGCCTCTACTGAGCCCACTCTGACTCATGGCAGCCCCGAGCAGGGTTTAGGCAGACAGCCTCATCTTTCTCCCGTGGGAGCAGCTGTTCTCTTTGCTCTGCCCACTTCTTACCCTATAGCAGATATGCAAGGCTGACTGGGCAGTTCTACTATGTCCTCCAGAGCGGCTATGAGCTGGCACTGACCTGACAGTAATGAAGGGAATGGACAGCTCAGGCATTGTACAGGGAGCTTTGGTTTTCTTCAAGCAATTCTTCCAGGAACTTTGTAATGCTTTTTCTTATTTATTTTCCTTGAAACTTGCATTTCCATTTCATATGGAAGTTCTGTAACTACACTATTCCCTGTATTTTTTACAAACTTTGTGGGTTTTTGTTCTTGTTATAAACTGGTATTTCTAGTTCCCTATTTTCAGTCTTGCAGGTTTGTTTTGCTGTGAATACTTCCCTTATCTGCTTTGAGATCTGGGTGCTATTGTTATATGTTAGTCTCAGGTTTGCTCCACTGTTGGCTCTTAGTCTTTTAGCTTTGTGCAAGGTTGGTCTGAGGTTTTACACTCTCTGAAATTTGTTTACCTAGAAATGTCCTAATTTCACCATCAAATTTGAGGGACAATTCTGCTATATATATGATTCATGCTTGGCAATTAATTTTTAATATGTTACCCCACTGTCTTCTTTTTTTTAAGTTTTTAATTATGAATTGGGTGAAAGGTTACAGGGCAGATCATCAGTTTTACATTCAACAAATCATGCACCTTGTTTCATTACAATGATTATAATCCCCTCCATGTACCATCAGTTAACAGTATTTCTCTCTATTCATTTTAGCTCTTTTTTTTTTTTTCTTTTTAAAAGTTTTTATTGTGAATTGAGTGATGGTTTACATGGGAGAATATTGGTTTTACACTCAAAATTTCATTGCAATGATTTCAATCTCCTCCATGAACCATAATCCAACAGTATTTGCTTCTATTCCCTCTGTTTTGTTTTGTTTTGTTTTTGTGTGGGGGGTGGATGTACACAAAAACACTCAGGAATATATAATAATTTAAACACCCAAAGGGCACATTCTGCAAGCCTGCCTTCTGGCTGCCAGCACCCAGCCTTTCTCGTTCCGTGAATCTAGAGTCCTCAGCTGCTCCCTCTCTCCATGTCCTCATCTCTGCCTCCATCTCTGGTGTCGCTGCTTCTCGGGATAGGATCCCACATTCCATTTGCGCTCTTCTCCCTTGATGGTCCTAGGTCCTCTGTTTCTGGACTGTAAGATTACCTACTCCTTTTTTGTTACTAACTTCTACCTTTACAGTTGTGACAATTGCAAGTAGTCATGATAACAATTTTTTTTTCCTTTTTAAACACTCATGCATATATAATAATTTATACCACCAAAGAGCATATTCTGCAAGTCTGCCTCCTGGCCACCAGCTCTCAGTCCCTCTCTTTCCAAGAATCTAGAGTCCTCAGCTGCTCCTCCCTCCATGTCCCCATCTCTGCCTCCATCTCTGGTGTTGCTGCTTCTCTGGATAGGGTCCCACATTCCACTTGTGCTCTTCTCCCTTGATGGTCCTAGGGTCCTTTGTTTCTGAACTGTAAGATTAAGTACTCCCCTGTTTTTTGTGACAAAACTTCTACCTTTACAATTAATTACTATTGAATTGTAAGAATCTTATCCCTAGCTCTGTGTTACCAGACCCTTCTGGACAAGATGAAAACTATTCAGTGGGGACTTTTTCTTTCCCCACACACTCTTAAACTAAACTCCCTCTTGAAAGCTTGTAAGCCAGTCACTTCATGCCTTTATTGCCCCCGCATTTTAGGTAGCCAATGTCTAAATGCCTGTCCCTATCTACCCTGTGTACAGAGGAGATAGCATTGATACCCCACTGTCTTCTTGCCTGCATGCTTTATGCTGAGAAATGAGAGTCTTATTAATTCCTTGTTGGTAACTTTTTGTTTTTCCCAAGCTGCTCTCAGGATTCCTTCTTCATCTTTGGTTATGTAGAGTTTGATTATAAAATGTCTTGGTGATTTTCTTTTGGGGCCTATCCTGTTATGTGTTTGTTCCATTTCTTGAATGCATGTCTTCTCATCTTTCATAAGGTTAAGGAAGTTTTCCTCCAAATGTTTTTAACTTTTTATCATGAATTGGATATTTCATGTTATTCCATAGACTTGACTTTGTGATCACTTCCAGGGTCAAGGGGGAAGAGAGGCACACTTTTTTTGGTAGCTTTTTAAAATTATTGTTATTGGGATAAAAAATATATATAATCAAAGCTTGTCATTTGAGCCATGTACAAACGTACAATTCAACAGTGTTATTCACACTCATAATGGAGTCCTGGTGTGGCATTGTGGGATAATGCACTGGACAAGGTCAGCAGTTCAAACCCACCAGCCATTGCTTGGCAACCATGTATAGGGTCAGTGTGAGCCAGAACTGATGTGACGTCACTTAACAACCATAATGCCTTCCAGTTCTTAACCATTACCTGTTTGCAAAACTTTCTCATCACCCCAAGCAGAAACCTACTGCCCACGAATGGGACGGAACTGATGCTTTCTTTAAAACATTTTCATTTATTTTGTTGTGGTAGAGACTATACGCAGCAGATATAGCACCGATTCAACAATTTCTATAAGGGCTTCTTCAAAAGGTTCGTGGGAAAGTGGAATGGAAAGAGCAAGAAATTCATTCATTGAAACAGGCCAGGCTTACTGATCAGGGAGACCCTTAGCCATGGCTGGAATCTGGAAAGAAACCCACCCACATGACTCGGTTTTCAGTCAAATATTAAACAGGTCTCTTAAGGGGAACGATAACACTGGTGAGGTACGCAGGCCTTATGATAGTCTCCCACTGGAAATCAAAAGGGCAAAATTCAGAAAGGTTCGGGGAAAAAAAGAGGAACAGAAACAGGAAACACAGGAAGTGGATGAATGTGGTAACACTGGGGATTGCAGTCCGTGACACGAAACAAAAGGTGTCTGATGTGTTGAATGGAAAACTGAAGTGCTCTGTATTCCTTCACCAATTCACAACAAAAAGTTAAGAAGAAAGATGGAATTTTCCCAGGAACTTTTTGAAGCCCCCTTGTACAATTCAATGACTCCAATTATAATCTTTGAGTTGGGCAACCATTCTTGCCTTCCTTCCGCCCAGCCACAAAGCTCGCTGCCCCCTAGGCTTCCTAGCTAGCCTTGTGAGCCAGTGGCTGTGGTCAGTTTGCTCCCATACGCAGACCTACTTCAGTAATATTGCTGGTTCAGTTCCAGACCACCTCAATACAAACGAACAGTGCAACAAAGGGGGTCACATGCATGGGAGTCCTGGTGCGGCTCAGTGGGCTAATGCGTCAGACTGCAAAGTCATTTGAACTGCAAGGTCAGTGGTTCAAGT